ATGTTTTAGTATTCGTAACGCACCATATTGTATAGACAATCCCAGAAAATGAATTGACTTGTACTGTGGCTCTCATAGTTTCCGATGTGTTAGAGTAAGGTGGCGATTGTGTGTATGAAATATGCTTTAAATATGTAGATCTTGCAGTATACCAGTTGCTCTTGCTTGGAGCACAGGGTTTTATTTCAGTCCCTCCCACCTTCTAGGATCAAAACACTGTTAATTAGGAGAGTCAGTTCTGACAATCTGCTGATTGCAGACATTTTTTAAATACTGTACACTTTAGCTGAGAAAGCAATACCTGAGCTGCTGTACATGTCTACTGCAGTGTACAGGCTGCTTGAATGAATATAGTAGGAAAAAACATTTCTGTTATCTTTTGTATTGGCAAATTCTTTTTTTTTTTTTTTTTTTTTTTTCCCTTTGCACATTTGTTTAAATGGCACATTTTACTCCTGAAGATTAGTGGTTCTGGCCTTCCAGAAGGTACAGGTAAGTCTGGAACTACTAGTTGGGGTTGTGCATACAGGTCGGTATTGCCACTTGCATATTCCCTTAGGTTGGTGTCAGAGAAAGGGATAAACACATCTAATGCAAATACCTGAATATATTATGCTCCTGTCATACCCTGCAACAGGACCGATAAAACCGAGAACAAGCGGATGGGACTGAACTGAAGAAAGAAGTGTGTGCAGATTTCTCGGTTTGTTGAGATTTTTTGACCAGGCTAAGCAACTCTTACAGTGGTGGTTGATGACCTGGCTGTGCTGTCTAGCTGGGGTGTCTGGATAATAAGAATGGAAGAACAGAATAATTTGTTTCATAGTTCCCATTTTTATATATTTCAACTGGCTTGGAATTCAACTTTCATCTGTTTTAAATTGCTATATGTGTAACACGTATTATATACACTGATACTGTGTTCAAGACACAATGCATCGTTTATATAATATACAGTGGGTGTAGAAAAGAATCGCCCCCCCCCTTTTTAAAATCACATTTTGTTGCTATTAAGCCTGAAATGAGGACAGACACATGTTTTGTTTTAACGAGCTGTAATTACTCAAGGCAACTTATAACATCCAAGTGAAAGATATAACACCAACAAACATGTCAGAACAAAAATTTGAGTTGGAAAAAGGATCACTTCCTTGTGTCAGTACTTTGTTGAACCATCTTTTGCTTTACTCACAGCCTTTAGTCTGTTAGGATACGTGTCTAAATATGTATGGAAATGGACCTGGATTAGGATATGTGTTAAATTTGATGGTGACAGGTTTTGTGGACTGCAGTCTTCAAGTCATTCCACAGATTTGCAATAGGGTTTAAGTCTAGGCTCTGACAAGGCCATGCAAGGACATTTTTTCTCCTTTCACCACTGTGTGATCATTTTTTTGCTGTGTGCTTTGGGTCATTGTCATGTTGGAAGGTAAACCTTCTTCCCATTGACAACTTTCTGGTAGAGGGCAGCAGATTTTCGTCAAGAATTTCATGGTATTTTATCCCATCCAACTATCCCCCTATCCTGACAAATGTTGCATTCCCTGCTGCAGAGAAACGACCCTATACCAGGATATTACCACCTCCATGCTTTACTGTAGGAATGGTGTTATTTGGATGGTGAGCTGTATTGGATTTCCGACAGACATACCTTTTTTAGTTTTGAGGTCAGATAATTAAATTTTAGTCTCATCTGACCATAACACCTTTTTCCATGTGGCCTCAGAATCTTCAAGGTGCATTTTGGAAAAACTCATGACTGCATGTGGCCTTTCTTGAGTGGCTTTTTTCTTGCAACCCTCCTATACAAGCCACATTTCTGGAGAATTTGTTATATTGTGACATGCACACAATTACCACCGTTTGTCATAAATTCCTGCAACTGCTTCAGGGTTGCTGTAGGCCTCTTGGTAGCCTCTCTGACCAGTTTCCCCCCTGGCTCTTTCATTCAGTCTGAAGCGACCTGATTGAAGGAGGGTCTGTGCTGTACCAAATACTTTCCACTTCTTAATAATAGACTTCACTGTGCTTCTAGGCATTCATAGAGCCTTTTATTAAATTTTTTTGTATCCATCTCCTGACTTGTGCCTGTTCACAATTTTATCCCGGACATCTTTTGATAGTGCCTTGGCACCTAGAGTTGATTGTTTGCTTCAGTTGCACTACCGGAGACTGAAATGCTCCAGGAAATCTCCTTTCATGCTAAGCTAATCAATAGGACCAAAGCTGTTCACAGTTGAGAAGGTAATTAGCTACACCTGATTGAGTTTACAAGTCATTTTTTAGGAAGCAGTGATCCTTTTTCCCACTCCTTGATTGTTTGTTTTTTTAATTTTCTACATTTTTTTTTTTTTTCCTGACATGGGTGTTCTATCTTTCACTTGGATGTTATAAGTTGCCTTGAGTAAATACAGCTGGATAAAAAAAAAAACCATGTCTGTCTTCATTTCAGGCTGCAAAGTAACAAAATGTGACTATTTAAAAGGAGGATGATTCTTTTCTATACCCACTGTACATCCACAGCTGTTCCATCTCACTAGTACATCAGATATTTATGGCCCTAAACACATCCGATCTTTGGCTAGATTTGGATATCTGCTTATGAATACAGTTGTATTTAAAGCGGTATTCATGCCAGAAACAAAAATTATATAGATTGAAGCTTTTTGATCCTAAAATGTGGAGGCTGTATTAATTTTTCTTTTTTTCTTTAGGGTCTTTCCTTTTTATTTTTACGTGGTGGTCTGGCCAGTAACACTTTCTTTTCTGTCTTAGGGTGTCTCTTTTCCAGATGGAGGAGCAAAGGAAGACACTTTTGGGCAACTGTCAATATAGGGAGAGGGTAGTGTTGCACTAGCAGATATTGATGGACTTGACTTGGGCTCATCTAACACATCGCTGTCTCTACAATCTACATTAGATCTACCAACAACTATGTAGTAAAATTACAGCTAGCCGTTGAAGGGTTAAAATTCAGCTAGTTTAACAGGAACTGGACACATTTTGATCCACCTATGGGCAGGCTGGATGTACTGAAGTTGATCTAATGACTATAGGCAGTTATCGATCAACTTCAGTACAAGCAGCCTGACAGTTTTTTTTTGTTTTTTTTTTTTCACCCAATCATTGCTGGCAAGGAAATCTCCCTGTGCTCCCCATCGGGAGAATTCAATAGTGCTGCGGGGTGGATTCCATCAACACGAACTGTTGATGGGGAATCAAGCTGTCTTCTTTCCTTCAACCAGTTGTTGAAAGAAAATTGCATAATGTATGGCCTGCCTTATAACCTGCTTGATTAGTTAAATTAGGTCCTCAAATTACATAGACTTGGTAAATCTAAAGTTGATTGTGCAAAGATTTTACAGGCAGATTGTAAGGTTTACTAATTAAAGCTGAATTCCAGGTAACACCTTTTAACTACTTGAGGCCTAGCAGCCTTAACCTATAGTAAACCCCATTGAGTGCCAGGGCTTTTTTTTAGGATTTGAATATGTGACCAAATCTTACAATTGCTGCTTTGTTTTTCAGTCAACCTAACCAGTCCTGACAATATTTGGGTATAGCTAGTACTTTCTTTTGATGCCATACTCTTGATTTTTTTTTTTTTTTTTTAATACAAATAATGTGAATCGCTGCCATTCTTTATGAGCTATTTTACTGGAAAGAAAGGAAATAACAGTGTTTTACCATAATAAAAACAAAGACCCATGTATTAACCACTTGCCCTCCTGAGGATTTGCCCCGCTTCCTGACCAGGCCATTTTTTTGCGTTCCGGCGCTGCGTTACTTTAACTGATAATTACACGATCATACAACACTGCACCCAAATGAAATTTATGTCCTTTTTCCCCACTAATTGAGGTTTCTTTTGGTGGTATTTGATCACCAGTGCAGTGTTTATTTTTTGCGCTATAAGAAAAAGAGCAACAATTTTGAGGAAAGAAACAATATTTTTGACTTTTTGCTTTTAAATGTCCAGTAAAAAAAAATTTCATCATAAATTTAGGCCATGTATTCTGCTACGTCTTTGCTAAAAAAAAAAAAACCCCAATACGTGTAAATTGGCTTATGTGAAAGTTATAGCTTTACAAATGGCGGTGTAGATATTGGAATTGTTTGGTTTTTAATTTTTTTTTACATTTTTACTAGTAATGGTGGCAATCGGCGACTTACAGCGGGACTGCGGCAGGGATTCTGACACTGGGGGGAACCGACTTGGTGCACACGCCCGACCCGGAAATGCAAAATCATGTATATTTTGTGCACCTGTGCCGCCCTGTAGCATTATATCTGCTATAGGGCAGTCTGAAAGCGGTTAAATTAAGATGTACACTCACAAAAAAGTGTACTCCACAATCAGAGCACCACTTGTATTGATTCACACAATATATGTAGTATCTCCTAAAGGCTTTAGACCTCACGTTCACCTCTTTCCAGCAATTCAGCAGTACTTCCTGGTAAAATTCCCTTTGCGAAAGTCAAAAGGGTGTGACAAAACATGTTAGGGTGGTGCTATGACGACATTACATCAACCAGGAAGTATTGCTGGAAACAGGTGAAGCTGAGGTCTAAAGACCAAGATCTCCAGAAGGCAAGCCTATAAGAGACCTGGGAGTAGACCCCTTAACCTTTTTGCTGCCAGGGCTGTTTCTGCTTTTTTGCACACAGATTTGAAAAATCATTATAGGCCTGAAGATTGCATATTTTCTGAAAACAGACACCTTTAGAGTAAAATGATGGTAGTTGAAATGATTCATGTTATACAATATTACCGTAAAGGTCTAGGAAACGGAAATTTTCAGTAAAAAATACACTAAAGTTAATTGTAGGGCACATAAACGCAATAACTTGCCCAAAATTTTGGTAATCTATAAAAGGTGTGGTTGCACCGAGTAAATAGATACCCAACATGGCAAACTTGAAAGTGTTACTATATCCAGGACCTTGCATCCACTAGATCTGGTCTACCACAGTACACAGAACATGGAATTGCAATTATTTTAGTAAATATAACTGCTAAATACCTTTTCTCATCAGCAGTATATAGTAGTCTTGTGACTTCTATCAGTGTCCAGCTGAACACTGGTTAAAGCTTGTAGGAGGAGTTTTTTTCTGCTGTAAGAGGATGCAGAACCCCTGACCTCTGTCTGAACAGTCCTGATTGGCCCTATGCTGATCACATGCACCCTCCCAAGAAAAAAAAAAACCTCTAGCAATACACACCAAATTGGGCATGTGCAGTGTGTCTCCACATCATGTCTTATCAGGAGGTAAGAAGGGGAGGATCAGAGAAGACTGGCTCAAATGGCATTTTTACACAATGCAGAGTATTAACCCCTTAGGTTCCACAGTGAGTATAACAAACATGCGTTTACTGCATATACAGACTGATATTACTGTTATGGGTTTAGTAACACTTTAAATTTGCACGTGCCTGTGAAACTTCTGTACCCTATATTTTCCATAGGAGACATTTTAATAGCCCTCTATAGGTCATCAGTTTGGCGTTACTGAGGAGGGCTGATGCAATAAATATTGCCCTTACTCCGGTGTGCATGGCAATACATAACTTGTATCGTAATCCACATTTTCCTTGCATAGGTGCACCCCTAAGTATAACAAGTTTGGATCTAAGGCTAAAGTGGTTCTAAATGTGCAAGGGTTTTTACCCTCATGTATTCTATGCATGAATATAAAAAATCTGTGTGCAGCAGCCCCTTCCGATCTAGAGACGTTCACGACAGCCCCTGCTGACAGTGTGGGGGGTGGGGGTGCAAGCCGTGGCCCTTTCTCTTATGGATGCGTAGAGCAGCAGCTTGGGGACGAGCATGCAGTGGTGCCCCCAGGACAAGCTGTTTTCCCTGGGGGCACTGCTCAAGGGGGAGGTGCCAGAAGCATCAGAGGGGACCCAAAACGAAGAGAATCTGGGCTGCTCTGTGCAAAACCATTGCACAGAACAGGTAAGTATAGACATGTTTGTTAAAATATATTTTTAAGGGAAAAACAAACAAAGCTTTAGTGTCACTTTAAATATGTATGCTAAAGAGCAATGGATTGTTACTGCATCCTACTAACCTCACTAAACTTTGTAAGGCGGAATACCAGGTGGATTTAGTGCTGTAAGGGAGTTACAATATAATCCTGTGGTGAACAATGTACGTGTGTATTTTTAAAATGTAATTTATCTACATTATAAATGTCTTGATCCTTTATATGTATTTTTCGTACAAGAATATATTTTGTAATAAGTTTTTAACAGCGGGTCCTTGAGCACCAATAAAGTCGTTCTGATAAAACACTAATGCGTATTATATACAGGATGCAATGCTCATGTGTATATCCAATCCCTCCCAACTAAAATGTGTTAGATATTTCTGCAGTGGTTACAGACAGGAATATCTAATCAGCAACAGACGGACTCGGTTTACGGCTGTCCACAGCCTATTGCAGATAATCGTACATGAAACCTTTATTTATGTTTAGGGATGGATCTGTGCCCCCTGGAAGTTAACTGTCTATGTTCAGGGGCACACATCTATCCCTAACAGCAATAATTGATGGCTTGATGTGGACAGTTGTAGATAGTGCCATCCTGTCATTGATTTGTACAGGTCTGTTCACAGCTAATCAGAAACACCTCACTGTACCCACTGCAGAAGTAAGCTGCACAGTGTCGGCCCTAATCAGCTGTGTGAATGAGCTTTTACCCCTGGTTCACATCTGTGCGGGTGGTGCTGCTGCGGATCCGCACAAAAATCCATGCAGCCACACCACCTGCACAGAGGAATGCGGACCAGCGGGTGGGTGCCATTAATTCTAATGGCAAGCCACCCGCACTGGAAATCACAACCGTACTGGGAACCGAGGTTCCCATTTGGGCTGCGTGTTCCGAAGAAGTGCAGGGACTTCTTCCCTGCGTGTCCCGGGGCACAGGAGTCCAATCAAATAAATGGGCTCTCGTGCCTGCGCAAAACGCGGCCCTCAGGAACGCGGAGATGTGAACCTAGTATTACACCACAGTCACATCAGGTGCGATTTAGAATGCAATTTGCACGTCATGCAACCTGAAAATTGTATGCCAAGTCGCACCCTATTGTCCACAATTACAGGAGTCAAATCGGTGCGGTTCCGACTTGGTAGGAGCTGCACCGATTTCTACAGTAGTACATGCACTACTTTTGGTGCGTTTTGCATAGACATCTGTGTTAGATGCCTTGCAAATCACACCTGAAATTGGCATCTCACCCAACTTTGAAATCTTGCGACTTCACTCTAAGTCACAGGACTTCAAAGTTGGGCTTGATGTGACCGGGGGGTTAGGGCCAGTTCACATTACATGTGTTTTCAGTGTGCTTTTTTTTTTTTTTTTTTTTTTCTTTTCTGTGTTCAAAACGGAGAGAAAGTAGGATATATGGTTGCCAAAGTCATAGTTCACATCAGTGCTTGCAATTCCAGTGGTTGCAGGGAAAAAAAGTGGAACATGCTGCATTTTTTTTTTCTGCACAGAACTGTACGGGAATGCAGAAAAATGTCCCTATTTAAGTTGAAGAAAGAGGGGAAAAAATGAACTGGAATGCATCAAAAATGCACTGGAACACATCAAAAACACACGCGTCAAACACACATGCGGAAATGCATCTGGACTGCGTTTCTATAGTGTGACACCGCCCTTAAAGCTGAAGTCGAGGCATTAGGGAAAAAAAAACTTCCTATGCAGGAGGCCTCCTTCACTGCAGTTGTTAAATGCTCATTTTCTGTAGGTGATACAGGAACTGGAATTACTGCTTACCTTCTCCCCTGCTCTGGCAATGACCCTACTCTTCCTGGAACTTCAGTCTATGGCAGTCCTTCGGTATCATCATGTGCAATGAATGGTTATTGACCCTGTATTGTATGTAGTGCGGCAGAGGATGTGGCCGGGAGTGCCTTCGAGCAGAGGCTGCAAGGGACTAGTCACAGCACTGGAGGGACTATGCTGGAGCGCAGGATAAGCTTTTACTAAAGGCTGAATGTTTTTTTTTTTTTTTTGTTTTTTTTTTACCTTCATGCACTCTATGCATGAAGGTAAAAAAAACTTGTGTGCAGCTCCCTCCTAATACTTACCTGAGCCTAATCTCGATCCAGCGATGTGCACGAGAGCAGCGGCTCTCCCGGTTCTCTCCCTCCTGATTTGTTGAGCTAGTGAGGAATGGGCGGGGCACAGAGGCAGCTTGAGAATGAGCACATGAGTGCTGCCAGAGCAAGAAACCTGCTCAGGCGCACCAGCGGGGGAACTGGGAAGAGCAGGATTTGGGCTGCTCTGTGTAAAACCATTGCACAGAGCAGGTATGTATGACATGTTTGTCCTTTTTTTGTGTTTTTGTTTTTTTTTTTTAAATCCGAACCTTTAATATCACTTAAAGACAGCAAAAGTTAACTCGTCATTCAGTTAAAAAATATTTAGTAGATGGCCGAATCTCCTCCTTGAGCGCCTGAAAATAGCTACTCTCTGAAAAGTGGTCCATCACAGATTGCTTTTTAGGGACTATCCAAGTGTGAACTTGGCCTATCTGCAGGTACTTTGGAAAAATGTAATCCTCGAAATTCAAAATGGAGGAACAAAATTGCAGCTCATTGCTCTTTGCTTTCTCTGACAGAACAGAGTAGGCAGCCTGCAGACCTAATGTAAACAAACAGCAGGTGCTGAGATTACCCAAAACCAACTTCAGAGTCTGTTATGAAATTTGAGGATATTTACTTTACAGTGCCTGCAGCTACAGAGCTCCATGAGGGCTTGTTTTAAAACTTCTTACATACTGTTCAAGTGTTACTAAACCCAGGACCCTGCATTCACTATATTTCTGCTCTCCCACGGTACATAGAACATAGAAGTGCAATTATTTTAGTAAATATAAACTGCTAAATTTTGTCATCAGCAGTTACAGCAGTTTTGTGACTTCAGCTGAGCACTGGTTAAAGCTTGTAGGAGTTTTCTTTCTGTTCTAGGAGGATGTAGAACCCCTGACCTCTGTCAGGCCTGTGCTGATTGGCCCTATGCTGATCACATGCACTCTCCCAAGTAAAAAAAACCCTCTTGCAATACACACTAAACTGAGCATGTGCAGAAGGGCTACAGATTGTGTTATCAGCGTGGACATTTAAACAAGAGGAGGGGCAGAGATGAAAGGATCAAACAGCTTTTTTACACAATGCAGAGTATTAGCCCCTTGCACAGTGAGTATAACATGCTTCACTGCATATACAGACTGATTTTACTGTTGTGGGTTTAGTAACACTTTAATATGTAAATACTTGCTAGCCTGGCCACAGGGTCACTTTAAAGCTGAAAAAGTGGGTTACTTGATCCCCCTCCTAGAATTACTGGGTATTTCACTTTGCTTACAGTGTGTGAAGGGATGGCAGGTATAAGAAGCCAAGTAAACTTACTGCTTTGACACATTGGCAAAGCATGGGTAAGTCACATCTGCTGACAGCTTTCTCTGTCAGCTAACCCCTGCTGCCTGTTTCATTCTGAATTCTTCCCCCATCCCCAAACATAGGTTAGCTTTAATTGATTTGGTTCTTATGAAAGCAGGTATTCGGTTAGTCAAATATAAAAGTTCTCCTGACTCTATTCATTGGTTTCTGCTCCAGGAATAGTTTGTGGCACTTGTTCCAATTTCATGAGAGCTAAATCCCAGAGGTGTTTTTGCTTTGAGATGGGTTTGTTTTAAAATTAGACATTTTTCTACTTCAGTCCCAGAGATATAGCAGTTTCATGTAGAGTTTTGTAGCTGCAGAATCTTATAATGGTTTAGCTTTATTTTCAAATTTAATGACTGGTAAGTTTGAAACTGCTCTTTCAGGTTCCTTAAGAATCCAGCTGTACCTGGCTTTTCCTCTATTGGTATATGTTAGTTGTACTGCCAGAGATTAGAAATGAAGCTGCCAGCTTTTCCTATATGGTTTTCTCATGATTTATTAGTCGGATTTGTACATTGTGAAAGGAAAAATGTAAGCCGTACTTTGTAGCTTTATATGTGAAATTATACTCCCCTTTTTGCTTTTGGATGCATATATCCTGTATTCTGTCTTTTATAAGCAATTTGTTGGGGGTCAGTAAAAACATTTGTCATGTTTTTTAGCACTCCCCATCAAGCTGTAAAGGAAGCAGATGGGGGTGTAAACATGCCATGTCCGTGGCAGTTTGCGGCACGTAAAAAACATGGCATTCAGCAGGCAGTGCTGCCCATCACACATAGCCCATTCGCATGAGTATGGCCAAACCACAGCTGTGTGCAATGCACATGCAGCTGTGGTGTGAGATTATGGAGTTAAAAAAAAGGAGATATAATACCCCTTCACTGTCTGTCAAATGCACTCTGAATAACCATTCACCACGAATAGCTCTTCAGAGGGCGAAACTCCTGTTAACAAGCCCTTACTGGTGCATATTTTTCCAGCATAGCTGAGTGTGATGTGGCCCTGGACATATTCTGCATACCAGGTTGCTTTGCGGGATGGCAACACCTGGTAATAAGTTAGTTGCCATGTTTTTCATAACTCATTAAGGGTGGCCCACACCTGGCATCTGCAATATGTAGACATGGTGCTGACACATTGCAATGCTACCATGGTCAGGTTACTTTCAGCAACGATTGGCCTATAGCACATGCTGGGTTTTGTAATTTCACGACTGCTAGTGAGCCTAAGGTTTTTCAATATATGTCAGAGGCTAGGTAGGGCTAGGTATGTTCTCTAGGTTGCTTGTGTTTTATTTACAAGATACTTTGTAGCTGGTCTGGAATTTTCCTTTTCTGGTAATTTTTATTATTTGAACCAACTATGGATCATTCCTAAAGTATTCAAAACCCCTCCACTTTTTTTCAATGTTATGCTGCAGCCTGATAATACAGTGTTAAATGTTTTTTTTAAGCTGCACTTAGTACCCCAAAGTGAAAACAAAATTTTAAAAATGTTTGAAAACGGGGCAGCACAGTGTCTAAATGATTAGCACTTCCACCTGGCAGTACAAGGGTTGTTTGTTCAAATCCCAACCACGGCACCATCTGCCTGGAGTTTGCATGTTCTCCCTGTGCTTGTGTGGGTATCCTCTGGGTACTCAGGTTTCCTTCCACACTCTAAAGACATGCTGGTTGGTTAATTGGATCCTTTGTAAATTGGCCCTAGTATGTCTATGTATGAATGTGAGTTGGGGACCTTAGATTGTACACTCTTTGAGGGTTAGGTACTGATGTGAATGTACAATATACAGTGAAGGAAATAAGTGTTTGATTCCCTGCTGATTTTGAATGATTGCCCGCTCACAAAGAAATGATCAATCTAAAAGTCGAATGATAGGTGTATTGTAACACTGAGAGACAAAATAGCAATAAAAAATTCAAGAGAAATGCATGTCTAACAAATTATGCACTGATTTGCATGTTCATGAGGGAAATAAGTATTTGATTCCCTATCATTCAGTAGGATTTCTGGCTACCAGGTGTCTTTCATACAGGTAACAAGCTGAGATTAGAAGCAGTCTCTTAAAGGGAGTGCTGCTAACCTCATTTTGTTACCTGTATAAAAGACACCTGTCCACAGGAGCAATCAAACAATTAGATTCCAAAATCTCCACCATGGCAAAGACCAAAGAATTCTTCGGTCATCCACCACAGTTGTTTTCCGTGGTCTTCCGGGTCTTTTGGTGTTGCTGAGCTCACCAGTGCGTTCCTTCTATTTAAGAATGTTCCAAACAGTTGTTTTGGCCACGCCTAATATTTTTGCTATCTCTCTGATGGGTTTGTTTTTTCATCCTAATGATGGCTTGCTTCACTGACAGTGACAGCTCTTTGGATCTCATCTTGAGAGTTGACAGCAACAGATTCCAAATGCAAATAGCACACTTGAAATGATCTCTGGACCTTTTATCTGCTCATTGTAATTGGGATGAGAGAATAACACACACCTGGCCATGGAACAGCTGAGAAGCCAATTGTCCCATTACATTTGGTCCCTTAACAAGTGGGAGGCACATATGCAAACTTGTAATTCCTACACCGTTCACCTGATTTGGATGTAAATACCCTCAAATTAAAGCTGACAGTCTGCAGTTAAAGCACATCTTGTTCGTTTCATTTCAAATCCATTGTGGTGGTGTTTGGAGCCAAAAAAGTTAGAATTGTGTCGATGTCCCAATATTTATGGACCTGACTGTATATATTATAAAAATATACACCGTGCTATTGAAGTGCATGTTTAACATTTGATATTTTCTATTGTGAAAAAATATGGATTTGAGATTTACAAATCAATGCATTGTTTTATGTAGATATTACATCATCACAACTTTTTTTTTTTTTTTTTTTTTTTTTGGAACTGGGGTTGTATTTTTTGTTCAGGTTACTGGATTTCATGAATTGCTTAAGTGAGAAACTTACCGTATTTATTCGAGTATAACGCGCACACGTGTATAATGCGCACCCCTAATTTTCGATTAAAAATCGGTATAAAATTTTGTTTCACTTTTTGAAGAACCAAAAATATGAAGAACACTGAATTGTGCAAAACAGCAAAACAGCAATGCTTACCGTAACGTGTGGGCGAGGCAAGGAAAGGAAATGAAGAGGCGACCATATGTTACAGCGGATAAGAATTCTCACCCCCAGTGTATCTTGCCAGTTTGGGCCGCCCACTGTACGCGACGAGGGGACATAGAAAAAAAAAAACGATCCCCTGTTTTCGCCGCCCCTTAAAGGGGCGGGGCCGGCACAGGGGACGTTTTTTTTTCTTCGCCCTCGTGTACAGTGAGCGCCTGCGCCCTCAATGGACCGGCCGCCACTGCGTCACCCCACCAGTGCATCTCGCCAGTTCGGGCCGCCCACTGTACGCGACGAGGGGACATAGAAAAAAAAAAAAAACGATCCCCTGTTTTCGCCGCCCCTTAAAGGGGCGGGGCCGGCACAGTGGACGTTTTTTTTTCTTCGCCCTCGTGTACAGTGAGCGCCTGCGCCCTCAATGGATCGGCCGCCACTGCGTCACCCCACCCCAGCCCTCGTTTATAACGCGCACCCAAACTTTGATTTCTTTTTTTGGTAGAAAATTTTGCGCGTTATACTCGAATAAATACGGTACATGCTGCTCATGTAATTTAATGGAGTTAATAAAGTTGGCAATATATAAGCTTTTTCCAACACACACAGCATAGACATACTAAAAAATACACCCCAAACTACATTCTGTTACTCTTCCCGAGTATGGCGATACCATGTATGTGAGACTCACAGCCTAGCCACACAGAGTCTCAACATCCAAGGAGCACCTTCAGGCATTACAGAGGCATAAATTACACATCCAATTTCTTGACTATCACATTTTTGGATGCCCTGGAGCACCCAGACAGTGGAAACTCCCCCAAAATGACCACATGTTTTGAGCACAAACACCCAAACGTGTTTCCTATGAGGCATAATGAGTCTTTTGCACGTCATTTTTTTTTTTTTTTGCCACAAGTTTTTTGGGAGTTGTGGAAAGAAAATAATTTTACACAGTTGTCCATTTATAAAATATTTTGAACATACAGCTTAGGCATACTTATTACACCTCAAAAGACATTCTGCTACTCCTCCACAGTATGAGCAGTACCACATATGGTATAGGCCCTAAATTTTTTTGTGGTTGTCCTTGCACTCCACTACTAGTACCTGGCCTATCATCTGGGTGTACTGCACTGCTAGTGATTAACACTTCACCAGGCTGTACAGTACTGCTGGTGGTTGCCTGCTCCTCAGATCACCGAAATCTTGAGACCCCTTCTTCCTTTGAATCAGTTACTGACACAGTGACGCTGACAGATGTTGATGGTCCACTGGGACACACGGTGACAGATGTTGATGTTCCCCTGGGAATACATGGTGACATATGATGCTTGGTGCACTGGTCACAGATGGCTGCACTGTGTGGGATCTGTGTGTAACTGCACAGTAAAATCAATAGCTACACACAGATCCCTGACAGGCTGCATGAAGTGGCTCTCTTCCTCCTCACTGCACTATGAGGATAAGGAGAGCCTGTTTACATTCTGTGATGGCTGTGATTGGACACTGCCATCACATGACCGGGAGAGCCAGTCAGAGAACAGATCTCCTGATCTGTGATGGGCTGTGTCCGAGGGACAGAACTATCACATGATCGCAC